TGGGAGATTTCCTCCTCTTTATCTTCCAGTCCTTCCATTAGGTTTTTCAGTTCTACTATCACATTTTTAAATTTCTCTCCTTTTTTTTGTTTTCCAACTATTTTCTCATTTAAAAATAGCATCCTAGTCACATTCTGTGGATGCCATATATTTTTAAAGTCAGGTTTACCGAGGTATAATTGATATATGGTAAAACTCACATAAAACTCACTCGTTGCGAGTGTATAGTTTGATAAGTTTTGACATACATATACAGTCATGTAACCACTATCACAATCAAGATATAGAATATTTCCATCACTCCAAAAAGTTGCCTTATGGCCCTTTGTAGTCAAGCCCTTATTCCTACCTCCAGCCCCTGGCAACCGCTCATCTGTTTTCTGTCCCCATAGTTTTGCCTTCTCCAGAAAGCCACATAAATGCAAGCATACACTATGTAGCCTTTTGCTTCAGGCTTCTTCCCTTCAGCATAGTGTTTTTGAAATGCATTCATGGTGTTGCATGGATTAGTGGTTGTTCATTGTTACTGCTGAGTAGTATTTCATTGTATTGATGTACCACAGTCTGTTTATCCATTCACTGATTGATGAAGATTACAGGTTTCTGCCTAGTTTTTGCTTATTGTAAATGAAACTGCTATAAACATTCATGAACAAGTCTTTATGGGAACATATGTTTTCATTTATCTTGGGTAAGTACCTAGGAGTGGGATTACTGAATCATATGATAAGTGTATGCTTAACTTTATAAGAAACTGCCAAATTGTTTTCCAAAATAGTTGTACCATTTATACCACTAGCAGTGTATTAGGGCTCCTGTTCGTCTGTATCCTTACCAACACTTGGTATTGTTAGTCTTTTTAATTTTAGCCATTCTACTCTATCTTGTTAATATCTATTAAGATATTGCTGATATATTTTAAAAAGCTTTCTTCTCCCAGTATCATTTCTGTTTCCTCCATGTTTCTCTTTACTCTTTGTTTTTTTTAAGTCTCATCTTAAGTACATTCCTCAAAATTTTGGTGATCCTTGGCTGTCTGGCATGTTTAATAGCCCTCTGAGCTGATTGTGGGTTTTATACTCTATGGGCTTTACTCTAAGGGCTTTTGGCTGGGCTGTTCTGTTTTTTCCTGTTGGGCTGATCATATTCACCAGAAAATGATCTTTCAGGTTCTTGCCTTAGCATTATATGGCCTGAAGGGAATACAGCTTCTATTTCCAAATAGTTTGAGCAATATTTCTGGGTTTGAAACTGAACAAGCCTGGTTTGTACTATATGTCTATCTTTGAATCAATTACTCTGGCTGGGGGATGGAGCACCCTGATTGGGCAGGCCTAGGTTACTTTTTACCTTTTCTGCTTTGGGGGAAGTGGGATTTAGCCATACCCAGACCACATGAACTGAGATGGGGAAGGGAGTGGTTCTTCCAAGGAAACCCCAAATGCTGCATCTAGAGGAAGGGGAATGGGTGCTGGGCAGGCAAAGTCAAGAGATGTTCACTATTGGAGGATTGTGTTGTACTGGTGGACAGTAAGTAGGAAGCAATACTTCACATACATGTTAGCTAGCAAGATTACATGCTGGTCCCCAAATGTGCCGTATGTTCTAACCTATTCCTTTGCTCATAATGTTCCTTCCATCTGGGTGGTTTCCCACTCCTAACCCCTGTCAAATTTATATTCTTCTTTCAAGTTCCCTCAGAAATGCTGCTTTCTCCTTAAAGCCTTACCTGTGGTCATTGCTTTTCTTGAGCCACTGGATCTAATTATTTCATAAATGTACATTTATGGGCACATCTCTTTTAGCTTTACCACTGCAGTCACTAATCTATAGCTTTGACTCATCCCACTGCTAGAGTAAGAGCCCAGTAACTAGGAACTGTGTACTTTGTATCCCTGCAATGTGATCCCTACAGGTCGTAACATAAGAGTTCCATATTAGGCACTCCATAAATGTTCATTGAACTGGAGAATATTATTACTTAGCATTGATTTTGTAAAACATGCTTAGCTTTATATGCTTCAGTGGTTTACAGTATTTAATTATATACTTGGCAAGGTCCAAATGATTACAGAGACAAAAAACATTGCTAGAGCCCTTTAGTGCTTTTGCATATATTCAGCTAAAGCTTTTAGTGTATGAAAAGCAACAGACAATGAATCATTATTACGTAGCTGATTTCTTTCTGGCAATGTTTTAGAAAAGTGTGGGGAGAAAAATTTCATGTAACTGGATTATTGAGTACATCTTCTAATGCCTAACACAATAACTGGCACATAGTAGATGTTTAATAAATTCTGTGTTGTGTCTTGAAAAAAATCCTGTAGAATTTTTCTTTTCCTTATGAGTTATTTAAATGGCCTTTCTTGTTCTAACCATAACAAAATACTCTGGGGGAGGGTTCTGAAAATATTTCACATTGCTGTGTATCTTATTTTTAGTTATGGGACCCTATGTGAGAAAAGTTCTGTGTGATGAGCTGGGGGCCCCAGCCAATTCTGCAATAAACTGTGTTCCCCTGGAAGATTTTGGAGGGCAACATCCTGACCCAAACCTGACATATGCAACGACTCTTCTGGAAGCCATGAAAGGAGGGGAATATGGATTTGGAGCTGCATTTGATGCTGATGGGGTAAGTAGAAAAGTTTTCTGCCTGCCGACCCTTTGACCATATAATGAGTCAAGTATTGGAAATCAGAGAATTAATAAAATCATCTGGAGCTAACATATTTGGGATTTGTGTACTCTAACTGGCTCTGAATCTGCTCTTCTGTGTCATGGCTAAATACTGCAATTAAACAGCCATTACTTTTCTTAGTTATAGATTAGCATTATGTTATAAAGAGGTTGTCTCTTTTTTAAAAAAAAGTTGTTCATGCAACAAACCTTTCTGTACAGCTGGTTTGGTTGAAAACACCGTGTTAAGGAACCAGCTGTTTCTGCAAGAACCCTGTTCTCCATTTCATTTGGGGGAAAGAAGAAATTAAGTATTTGGAGGCTGCTGAAGCCTGAGGTAGTCATCCACATTTTAGCAGGTGGAGCATTCCTAGTTGTGTCTAGATTCTCAGCCTTTGATATTCAGGGATTTAAAAGCAGCTTTCCCATGCTCTCTTTTGCCTCATTCAAGTTATTATATTGTTAAATATAAGATGGCAGTAAAGTAGCTTGTGATGATTATAGGAATGGGCTGCTAGTAGCAGATGCTTCTGTCTGATCATTTTCACACATTCCTTCCCACAGGACCGGTATATGATCCTAGGCCAAAATGGTTTCTTTGTGAGCCCTTCTGACTCCCTGGCCATCATTGCTGCCAACCTCTCTTGCATTCCATACTTCCGTCAGATGGGGGTCCGGGGGTTTGGGAGGAGCATGCCAACCAGCATGGCCCTGGACAGGTAAGCAAGGATGTCACTGTGAGAAACTTTATGGTAGACTTCTGATAGCAATGTCTCCTTTGTTGGTAGATGGCACTCATGCTCCCTACTCCATGTGGAACTTGTTGAAAGCATAGGAGCTTAGAGATATGTTATAGTGTACTAGGTAGGAAATGGAGAATCAGGTAGCCTGAGCTGAATTCTTGGTTCTGCCACTTATTAGCTGTGGGAACTTAGAACACATATTTGATTGCTGTGCCTCAGTTTTCTTATCTGTAAAATAGGACTAATAGTAGCCTCTTTATGTGGATTGTTATGCAGTATGAATAAGGTGATTCGTGTAAAACATTTAACAGAGTGACTGGCATGTAGTAAATACTACATAAATGTTTAGTAACAAAACTTACTAAATCTGAAAGTATATGTAAGTGAGGTGGAAAGAGCATGGGTTTTGAGGTCAGATTATATTATGTTCAAATGCTAGCTGTACCCTTATTAGCTCTGTAAAAACAGGGATGATACTTCATAGGTTTGTTGTAAGAACGAAATGAGATAGTACATGGAAAGTGCCCAATAGGAGATTCACTTAGTAGGGGCTCAAACAGTATTAGGTTTCTTTCTTCTTGCCCTCTCCATCCTTATCATCTCTTATCTTGTATTATAAAACAGTGAATTTCAGAGTCTAATATTTTCAAACAGCGTCTATTATTATGGAAGCAGTACATGTGCATGGTGGAAAGTTAGAAAACACAAACAAATAAGAAAATGTAAACCTCATACCCGCTTCCCTGAGTCATCTATGTTAATAGATCAATGTATATTCCTTACTGGATCTTTTTCTATACATATATATTATACACATATAATTAAAATACATAATATAATATACATACATATGTCTTTTATAATACCAAAAAGAGATCAGAAAGTACATACTGCTTGTAACCTGCTTTTTCCTATCTATCCATCAACAATGGCCAACTTCCTATTAACAAATTTCTAAGTCATCTGAAACCAAAGTTGTATTTAAATTCCCCCTAAGTGTTCCCAGAATGCCTTTTATGGATGGTTTTCCCAAAGTAGTATCCCATCCAAGACCACGTGTTGCATCTGGTTATGTCCATTCCATCTTTTTTCGTCCAGCACAATCCTTCTATTTTCTCTTTCACTTAATGACAGTGACTTTTGAAGAGATCTGACCAGTTGTCCTGCAGAATCCTACCTTCTGGGATTGCATGTTTATTTTCTCCTAGTGATATTTATTCATTCATTCATGATATAAAATGTATATACAGTGAAATGTGTAGCCTGATAGGGTACAATTCAATGAATTTTGAAAAATGTATACATCCATGTAACTACCAGCTGAGATTAAGGTATGGAACGTTCCCATCATCTCAGAAAGCTTCCCTGTGTTTTCTCCCAATCCTTGGTGGGCAACCATTGTTATAACTTCTGTTGCCATATGTATGTTTGCCAGTTCTTAAACTTCACAGAAATGGAATTGTATACTATGTACTCATTGTAACTGGCCCTTTTCACTTAATATATATTTTTAACTCATTCGCATCCATTGCATATGTCAGTATTTCATTCCTTTTTGATGTGTCATATACTAATATATAAATATATCGCAATTTATTTTTGCAATCTCCTGTTGATGGACATTTGGTTGTTTCCTGTTATTAGCTATTATGATTTACGCTGCTGTGGGAATTCTTATACAAGTCTTTTTGTGGATGCATCTCCATTACTCCTGGGTAAATATTTAGGAATAGAATGCTGGTTGTAGGGTAGATATATGTTTCAGATTACAAGAAACTGCCAAACTGTTTTCCATTTTACACTCTTATTTGCAATGTATGAGAGTTTTGGTTACTTCCTATCCTAATCAACATATGGTATGGCCAGTCTTTTTTATTTTAGCCATTTTAGAGAGTGCAAAATATTATTTCACTGTGGCTTAGATTTGCAGCATCCCAATAACCAGTGATGTCGAACTTTTCATAAACTGGTTTGGCCATTTGTGTAACTTCTTTTGTTATATATCTGTTCAAAACAGATATATTTTAAAATTTTTAAAGGTGGGCTGACTGTCTTTTTTGTTATTGATTCGTAGAAGTTCTTTGTATATGCTGGATAATAAGTTTTTTGTCATATATATGTATTGCAAATATTTTCAGACTGTGTGGCTTGCCTTTTCATTTTCTTAATAATGTCTTTTGACAAGATGACATTTTAAATTTTGATGAAGTCCAGTTTATTAATTTTTTCCTTATAATTAATTATATGGTTATTATATATGTTTATGTCTTCTGCAAGAAATCTTTGCTTACCCCACAATCAGAAAGATATTTTCTCTCTATTTTCTTCTAGAATTCGTTGTAGCTTTAACTTTTATATTTATGTCTATGATAATTTTGAATTAATTTTGTGTGGTGTGAAGTAAGGGTTGGGGTTCACCTTTTCCCCATATCTGGTTGTTCTAATCCTATTTATTGAGAAGAATTTTCTTTTCCATGAAAAGCCTTGGTGAATTTATTAAAAATCAATTGACCATATATACGTGGATCTGCTTCAGGATTTTGTATTCTGTTCCATTGATCTATTTGTTGATCCTTATACAAATATTACCCTGGAATCAGGTGAACCCTCCAATACTTTATTCTTCTTTGTCAAATTAAAAGAAAATTCTATATCCTAGGTCCTCTGCATTTTATTTACATTTTAGAATCAACATCTGACTTTCTACAAAGCATACTGGGATTTTGATTGGGATCGTATTGAATCTATAGAGCAATTTGGGGAGGATTGCATTTTGATAATATTGAGTCTTCTAATTCATGAGTGTGACATATCTCTGTTTTTTAGTTTTCTTTAATTTCTCTCACATATATTTGGTAGTTTTTAGCATAGACGTCTGTCACAATTTTTGTTAAATTTATTCCTGAGTATTTTCTATATTTTGGTGCTATTGTAAATGGAATAGTTTTATAAATTTAATTTTCTAATTGTTTTCTATTTAATATTATTTCTAATTAATATTCTAATATTTTTAATTAATATTAGAAATACAGTTGATTGTTGTAAATTGGCCTTGTATTCTTCCACCAGAGGGGAGAAGAATCATGTAGGTTTTGGATGCCTTCCACTTTACTTCTCTCCCTCAGGTGATATTGACATCAAGTCCATGATGGTGAACTAAATTCAGTTTAAAATTCTTGCCTGGCAGCACCAAAGAGTACGGTGTGTGAGTCCATGTTTTTTTCCCATTTAGCATTGCTTTTATATTTCCTTACAAAAAAAAGAAAAACTCAGTAAAACTGTAGAGAAGCAAAAATGGGACCATCTCTAGAAATTGAGAAGTCAGAGTCATATAGGATCCTGAGGATCCTGGTATGTAGGTTATTTGATAATATGGGAGTGTATTTAGCCCTTCCACTTATACAGAATTTTATAATTTAGGAAGAATGTTTATACATCATTTACTTTATCTTTGCAATGATTTAATGAGGTAAGTGGAATGGGCATTATTCTCCTCATAATAAAGATGTTGAGCCAATGATCAGACAGGTTAAGTGACTTATATAAGGTTCCACAGCTAATTAGAAATTGACTCAAGATTTGAAACTAGGTCTTCTGATACAGTTTACTACTGCACCTGTCTGGTAACTACAGTAAGGTCAGGAGGGTCCCTGAGAAACCAGTTGAGAATATTGCCCAACTCTCCTGTGGGGTAGCCAGCAACTTTCCAAACCATTGCTGGGAGAGGCTGGTTTCATTCTGACAACAAAAACCATTTGTCCTCTTTTCTTGTGGAAATTTCCCACTAGTTCTTGATTTCACTTTATTCCCCCCTTCCCAATAAATCTCTGTTTCAGTCAGAAACCAGAGGCCTTGCTTAGAAATTTCACAATGGACCTGTTCTGATATGTAAGTGACCATTTAAAAGGATTATTCATGCATGCTGGTTGGGATTCAGAATTCCGTGGGGCTCTGACGTGGTAATTTGTCTTGGGTATTTGATCTGTTGTGCAGCTCCCAGGTGGATTCTCATGATGTTCACTTTATAAGTTTCTTTCTTCCTAGGTAAAATAAATGTGGCTTCAAAATTTTGATCTTGATAGTGGTTTCCCATATAGCTTAATTTTTTAAAAAAAATAATAAATTCATAGGAATGTGCCCATAAATGCCAGCCCTGGAAGAATCGCAACTGAGTATGTTGTTGAGACACATCAAATGGCACACTTGCCTAAACCCCTGGGATTCCAGAATAAGGGGGCAGGGGCTGTACACTTGAAACTGATGAATTATTCAGACAAACTTTTATTGTTCACAGATAATTGTGGTTCCCCGAGGGAAGACTTTTAGTTATCTTTAATTTCTACTCTTACAGTGTCACTAAAACAAGGATTCCATTTATCCCAGAATGATACAGTTTCGGCCTTAAAAGTGGCATTCTTTTGGGGCTTTGTCATTCTGAATGTGTCTGATTTGTGGCTGGAGATGAGTCTGTGTTGCTGAAAACATTTTGGTTCAAATGATTTGTGAAGTAAAGCACATTCAAAGTATATTTGTGGCCCGAAGTCCATCTCCACCCCACGCAGAGGAATTAAATAATCCTTTGTGTCATCATCCTTCAATAATATTTATGGAGCACCCATCTGTGCTTGGGGCAGTGCCAAATGCTGTGCAAAATAAGGCAAACACACGCAGACTTGAGCCCTACTCACCAGAGATATTTACAGTCTCAAACAAGGGTACACCCATCTACACTCAGAGGAGCCAGATCTGAGAAGTATGTTTTGACTACAAGGGAGGCCATCTGGGGTCCACCACCCATAAACATGGTGCTGAGGGAATTAGTCCTTGTCTACCCTCTATTTGCTCTTTATGTCACCCCTGCTATTCACCATTTATTCACTCAAGAAATATTTATTAAGGACCTTCTGTATCCTAGACATGGTCCCCATGGTGGAACTTACAGTCTAATGGGGAAGACAATGAATAACAAATAAGGAAAAA